TTAAAAAAAATAATAATAATAAATGCCTGTATATCTATAAAATGAAGTATGAGCTTCTTAGACATGGAAGGCATTCAAGGCCTCCCAGGATTTAACTCCAATCCACTTTGCTCACCTCAGATCTACTATAGATGCCTTGTACCCTACCCTTAGGTAATGCAGCCNCTCTCTCTCTCTCTCTCCTAGAAATAAATAAAAATATTAAAAAAAAAAAAAAAAAAAGAAACTAAATCTAGCTTTGCATCCTGAACCTGTTCTCCTGCTCCTGGTCTGAGCTCTGATAAAGAAGTGTGTATTTTGTTAACATTTTGGCAAAACGAAGCCAAACTGGCCTTTTTGACCAGAAGAGTTAATATGCCCTTCCATGTCTCAATGTAGGCAAAATGCATGAATCTGTGATAAGATCAGAAGTTTCCTTAAACTAATTTTTCTAGTGACTGCTTACAACCATAAACCCAGGCAGATGGAAATTTTAAAAGATGCAACTCTGAGTCACATGTCCCTTTTTATACAAAAACAGAAAAAACAATAAGGTGACGGGGTATGGAGGTTTTTAAGGAAACATCAGTATTTGACCCATATTTTTCATGCACCAGTTAACTAGAAAATTACAAAACCCGAAAAACTCAGATAAACTGTACCAAGGGAATGAACACAATACGTCTCTCCCTTCCCCCTCCACGCGCCCTCTCCCCTCCCTTCTCTCCTGCCCTCCATGCTGGGGCACTTTTCTGGAATGGAAAGGAAGGCCTCTCAAGCTGTTGAAAGATGAGGGCCTCTGAATTTTTAATTCTGTTAACTAATCATTAGAAAACTAGAAATTGCTGCCTCTCTGAGAATCAGTGAGGTAGCAGGCTCCACAGACTGTGTTTAATTTTGCAGGAGCTGGCTGGTTTCCCAGCAACACATTGATTTGTAGGGCCACTACTTTGGGCACCTCGAGGATAATTAAATATTAAGTCCCTCTTTGATGTATGCAAAGTCGGCCTAAGAGGATTACCAGCCACAGCGAAGGTAGCAGTCCTACATTTTCTGGTAATTGAACATCGCAATATCATTATCTATTCTTATCTTTGCTCTGTAAGAAGCTGCCTCTATCCTTAATATTACCTTTGAGAATGGAGAAAAGGACAGGGAGTAGAGAAGATGAGAGCCTGTGTAGTCAACGTTTTGGGGTCTTCTAGGGCGTTGGGATGTGGAGATGAAGAAGAGTCGAATGTGTGTGGAAGAAAAAACAGTGAGCAAACCACCCTCTGTCTCCTCCAGTGCAAGGTTCAACTTGGCGCACCGAGTAGTCGAGGCTCACGGTGTTGGGAGCCACTGTGAACTCACTAGTTGAGAAAACTCCTTGTGAGGTTAAGGCAAGTTTGTACGGTCTCCTGCCGTCAGATGAGGACCTATATCCACCTCTACTCAATGGTTTCTGCTTGAGCACGGACCCCCAAAGCACCTTGTTCACTGGCATCCGGGAGTGACTTATTCTGGCCCTGGTATGATGGCTGCACCTGGTGAAGGAAACTGTTGTAGCTTGGAAAAACGTTGATGCTTAGTAATCTGGAAATAGTGATCAGGACTGAGTAATCAATGACACGTAAAGGTCAGCCATTGCTTTCGGGTTTACATTAATAAAATAATAACTTTGGTACAGACTGATGTACTATTCCTGGGCATGGATGACGTTATAGGAACTATGAGCCCCGTGGCTAATGTTTAGATGTTTTCTTTTGTGGTTATAGGAGCAAACACTGTGTTTCCTAAAAAAACTGTTTTTCTTAATACTTCCCATTAAGTGATAAACAGGCTACTGACCCCTGCTCACAAACAACTAACTTTTGCCTTTACTATGCTAAAAGCATTATCCTGTTTGTATTTGAATACTAAAGACACCTTCCTTCCTCCTATGATGAGCATGAGTACCCTTATCTAAATCATAATAATAAGGCTATGCATATCAATGTTCTGGAAAGTGTTTACTGATTAAAACATTTATCATCTGAATGTCACTTCTGTGCTATCTCCCAAAAACTTAATCATAAAATAAAGTTGAGTCTCTGACAATGCGGAGATGCCTGCCTGGTGATCAGAAAGAATCTCAGTGGCTCTCTCATCCCTCTCTCGCCAACACCGTCCATCCTTCAGGGACCCCTGGACCTGCTGGAGCTGGACTCTGGCATCACGGTTTAGGAATCTTCTCCAAGATGATGAAGCAACGGCGAGGAGAGAGGGTGGCCAAGACATATGTTTCTGAAGGATTTGTCCCCCCAGAGCCATGATCTTTCTACTGCTTGAGTGAAAGGTAACACGGTTTTTTAAAAACAGTCATGGAGACGACTTCTGATTTAACCTATGAGCACACTTCTGTAACACTCTACAAGTTGCTACTGTTCCCATTGTGAAGCCACAATTTTTCTGCATTCGCTTTCCATGCAGCAAACAGTTATTTACGGTCATAAACAGAGTTCCCTGGCCAAATTCACTTGCCCTCCAAAACAGATGGGACACAGCAATGGCAGGCTGACACAGAATACTTAATTTTTATAGGAGGAGGAGGAGATTCTCACTGATTTAATTTATTTTGGGAGGAAGACTATAGGTGAATGATGAAATTAAGCTACTATGGTAGTTTTCTTATTTCCACTACCAAATACTTTAAAGAAAAGTTGGATAGCTTCCAAGGGCAGGGGAATTGCTCTTATATGAGGACAAAGTAGGAGCGGGGAGAAGTTAAAAAGGGTAAGGAGGCACGGGATGAGTTTTACTGGAATCAGAGAGGTCAGGAGAGACGTTTTCTAAGGGCCTGAAAAAGTTTTCACCACCAGAGGAAACAGTGGTGAAATGAAACTCGCCATACACACTGTGCAAAGGAGAGAAACCAGACTGTGCTCAGCGAAATGGTCACAGGCCAATTTAGAAAAGTACACAGAAAAGGAATCTTAACAAAAAGGCTGAGCCTCCTTAAATCCTCCATTTGGAAAAGTTTTGCTATAAAGAAATTACTTTTTTTTTTTTTGGTTTTATTTAATTTTGAGACAGAGAGAGACAGAGCATGAGTGGGGGAGGGGCAGAGAAAGAGGGAGACAGAGAATCTGAAACAGGCTCCATGCTGTAAAGAAAGTAAAATCTCAGAAATATCCAGAAATCACTGAAATCATATAAGAGTTGGAACTTGTTCTCTGGGTAAGTGGAACATTAAGAAAAACTTAAAAGAAGAGATCATGGTTAAACTCCTACTATTTCTGAAGCATTCTGGCCCAAATAAGAAAGTATATGTTCTACTGTTTCAACGTGACAGGTAGGACGGGTGTCTTCCCCTTTCCCTGGCCTCCACGCTACATGGTATTATTTCTGGTATACTGATCTGACATAGCACGAAGTGAGGCTACAACCAGAGAAACTGGCCTCATCTTTCTGCCAGGCTTCAGCCAACAGTGAAGATGAAACTGAGTAAGGTCGAGAAGTTAAAAAATGGAGGTTCTGTCACAGAAAAGTACCTAACAGTAGGGATGTTCATTTGTTGCAGAAGGAGTCATAATCCAAGATTCCATGTGGCGAAAATAACATGACCTAATTTTGAGTTTAACTCAGAGATGCTACCTGTACCTTCCCACTGCTAAAAACAAGCATACCTGTAATGTTTACTGTACCAGAAGCCTGGGATAGATTTTGTAGTCCATTGCATTTGTGTTCATAGACTGCTCCTTAGTGATCCCTTCATGTAAATCAAGGCAAAATGTTGAGACTAAATACGTTAGTAAGGTCATGGGGCTTCAGAAAGAGTATTATTCAGATACCAGTAACTTTTAATACAACCCAGTTCGGCAATTTGGCGAGATTAGAGAATCCCTGATAAGTCCATCTTTTCTGAATCTCAAATTCTCTGACTCTAAAGACTAGATAAGAGTATTTACCCATTTCTCTCATATAGGTAAATAAGAATATGTAAGATAATACTTATGAAGATGTTCTGAGTTGAGTCTCAAGATATTCTTAATATCTGACTCATTTTTTAAGAGAGAAACTCATTGTTCTTTCAATGTAGTAATAAGGACATAATACTAATTAGAAAGCAAAGCTTTAAAACTAGAAGGTAAACTGAGTTGCTATCATTCTTCCAGGAAACTCTCTTGCAGAGCAGATTAGATGGGAAGCCTTATTTTATTGGTGTATGGTCTGCCAGCTGACACCCTTGACTGAGATTACTGACCCTTACATCCTATGTCTTCAGGATATACCAATTTAGAGTTGGAGCTAAACTTCAACGGCCACCATATTTCTTTGATTCAGGAATCAGCATTCTCATTTACTCAATCAACGAGTATTTGAGCTCCAAATATGAGTACAGCATACTTAGGGGGATTCAAAAGACAATACATCCTCCAGAGCTTCTGAATTTTCACAGTAGTGGGGAGACAAGAGAGGAGACAAGACTGTGATGATGATGATGATGATGATGATACAGATAAAGCTGGAACGTGTGGAGTTCAAGGTCTAGTTAAGTTTGAAGGTTTCAAAGAGGTGACAGACCAAGTGAGCCTTGAAGGATGAATAGAGAAAAAGATCTCGTGTGTGTGCTATATTGTCGATCTAGATACAGAAGAGAGAGAAGGGCACCTGCCTGCCTGGGCAGAGTATGAAAAAAAGTGAATTAGCTGAACTGCGCACTGCATTTCCATTTAGATCTGCATTTCTCCAGGGACAGGGAGAGCTGCGATAATTAACAAATACTGTCAGGAATCCTGACTATATCCTAGGAAGAGAAAAATGCCACACACATGTGAGGTGAATGAGACATCACTCCAGGCATGTCCAAACATAGGGAAAAATACAAACCAGTTCAATCCAATACAACTCAAACATATTTACCCAATAGCTAAACACAGTGTAAAGTCCACATTACCAAGCTGATTATTCACTGGAGGGGGTTTTAAAGTAATTGAGAAATGACCTCCAATTATTTTTAATTGGAAAACCATTCAATAACCAGTCAGATGCTCCCTTACCTGTCTCTGGGGCCAAGTGGCTTTGAGAATCGCTTCCGTTCTAAAGAACACAAGGAGCTTGCCATCCTCCTCAGTCAGGTTAAACGACTGTCCCAAAATCTGCAGCACCTGAATGCGGGGCCTCACGGGCCAGGCGTCGTCAGCACAGAAAGGCCGCAGCCACTCCAGGAGGTCATCCGAGGAGACCAGGTCCTCCCTGAAGGGCAAAGTCCAGGATTAGAGAGAGACTCCTAAGTCTTCTTTAAAAAATTCCAGTAATCCAATATGGTGACTGACCCAAAGACTTGTTTGGTGGGTGACTTTGTTCTGTTCCTATTAAGAAGAGAAATTTAGGTTCCATCTAAATGGCTTAAGGAGGTCATGTTAGGCATTTACAAACTACGTAAAATGAATGCACTTTTTACACATTTTTATAGTATCATACTGAGTTACATAAAGCAGAGGAAAAACAGTCATGTTCTTAGCTACTATATTTCTTACGAAAAGTTGAATAAAAGTTTAATAGCTTACTTTTATTAATGCTACTAACAGAGGTAGGCATCATCTAAGTAATTTCATGTAAACAATTACTAGTTGACAGTAACTATGCAAAATTGATATTATAAATATTCCATTTTTTAAAGGTTTTTTTCATTTGTAGAGATAACTGACATATAACATTATATAAGTTTAAGATGAATAACATAATGATTTGATATATGTATATATTGTGGAATGATTGCTAATAATAAGTTAACACCCATTACCTGACATAGTTACAAACCTTTTTCTCGAGATTAGAATTTTTTAGATCTACACTTTTAGTAACCTTCAAACATATAATAGAGCATTGTTAGCTACAGTCCTTATGCTATACATATAAATTCCCTTTTATAGATGAGGAAATAGGCTTTAAGGAAGGGCTATGATACGCCCACAGACATCTAGAATAGTGCAGTATGACCTCAAAGTCCATGTTCTTTCTACAGTTTTCTCTCTGACAGAATTTCAACATGGGGTAGGAGTATCAAGTTTTGTACTCCCCTAAAGATAAAATATGAGTGGGTGGTTATTAAAGACCTGTGAAGTCGGAAAGGCTTCAGAGAAGGGAATATGTGTACAACTTTCTATCCAGTGCTAGAATCTCTTCTCTTGTAATCCCAAATGGGCCATCTCAGGAAAACTGGTTTGATGAGGAGGTCAATGAATTACTATTGATTACCGGTAAAAGGTCTCATATGGATACGTCACTTGCACAAGGCCCTGGAGAGCAGGGCTAAAGCATTGACTCACATAGGTTTTGCCATAATGACCTCTTTATGAGACTTCCAGCAATAAATCACCAAGACCAAGTCCCAAATTCCATGACCTAACAAGACCACAGGATATTTTTAAAAATTCTACAATACCACTGAGTGTTTCAGTTACCATGCATTCTATAATACATTTGTCAGTACAGTTTCATAAAAATTCAAATTAAAAAACAGTTCCTTATTTGTCTTTAGGAATAAAAGAAATTCTAAAATGCCATGGACAAGTGGCTTAAGCATTTTCTAAATCTACAAAGTCGTTTGTCAGTTATACCTATGAGTGGCCTTGATGTGTGTCAAAAACGGCAAAATCGGGGTACAAGAAAAGCAGACCACCACCAAGATTTCTTGGAAATCTATGTGCAAAGTGAGCAGACAGTATCATGTGGGGGGGCAAGTATTTGGGGGGAACGTGATGGACCTTGAGCTCCGGCCCCCCCATGTGCTAACAACTCTAGATAAACACCATGACTGTCATCATTCCCATTTTACAGTGAAGTAGACATAGATCCTGAAAGTATGTCTCTTGAAGTCTGTGAAACCAAGGTGATGTATAGAAAGTAATGAGCCACAGTAGATGGCACGGAGGAAGTACTTAATAAATAGTAAGCATCATCTGCATAAAGATCATTATGATTATTATCATTAAGTGTCATGAAAGCACCAGTTTGTGCAGGATGGATACAGGGATGAAAATCACAAGAGTCCTGCTTTCAGAGAACCAATATTGTCCAGAAAGATTTTAAAAGTGACTATTATTCAAATTACTAATATACGTAAATATGAACAATCTTTTTGGAGGAAGAGAGAGTAGGCCAGGGAAGGCTTCACTGAGGCCGTGGCATTTGAACAGGATCATAAAGGACAAGTGGGCTGCATGTCAATGGAAAGGCGGGAAAATATCATCCAGATCAAGAGACCAGTGAGAAAAAGAGTCAAGGATTTCAAAGGACAGAGCACGTCCAGGGAGCGATGAAAGAGCAGATGTGGGGCGGGAAATGAGAGGAGAGGGCTCCGGTGGCCAGTAAGGCCTCCTCAGCTGAGTAACCAAGAGCAGGCACCCATGGCTGCAAAAGCGGTGCAGCTTCCTGCTTTGACATTTGACAGCACAGGCTCTGCAGCCATCAGGCCCACATTCAGTTCCCAGAATCCCCTCTTCCTGACAGTGTGTCGCTGACCGGAAGTCACTTAATGGCTCAGAGCCTCGGTTCCTTATTTGTACATTGGAGAGAGATACCAACCCCTTACTCATGAAGGTTTTGAGAATGAAACAAATAGGTAAATACTAAATTTAAAGCACATAATACATGCTCAGACCTACAACTAGGTGCTTCAATTAGTTGGCAGCCATTATTATGGAGGACTTTTGGTCTTGGTGTGGATGAGAACACTGAGGGTTTCTGAGCACTGAGACATCATAATCATGTTAAGTGATTAGAGAAGTCAACAGCCCGGGCCAGGCTCAGGCTCTTTCTGGTGAGGCCTGCAGGCGGTATAATTAGGAGAAGAGGGGTTTAAAGCACATTTTTGGCCTGGAATCCAAAGCACTATGCTGTCACCCAAGTGCCAGGTGAGGAGCAAGCAGCTGGACGAGCTGGAAGGGGAAGAAGGGGGAGTCCCAGAGTTCTAACCAGAACCCAAGACCTGACCAGGGTGAACAAGAATGACAACAATAGTAATAACTTATGAAAGTTACTATGAGATAAGAATGAAATCATTTCATCATAACTACCTCTTTTACGAGTTCTGTTATCGTCTCTGATCTGCAGGTCAAGTTTAATGTCTAAGGAGTGGAGCCAGTATTTGAACTTGGACTATCTTTCTGTCTTTATCAATTACTGCACTATTACTGAACCAAATAGGGGGTATGTTCCAGAACACTATGGCAGCTGATTAAAATTATTTAGATACTGATGTGATAGAGAAAGATTATTATAATGTTTTCCAAGTCAAACTGAGTTCAAGTCCATTTACATTGGAGTTCACTGTGCAGTGGATAACACTTGGTATTTTGGAGGAAACTACTTAACTGTGGGTTGACAGTTTAAACACATAATGAAATTGTGAAAACTCATCCCCAGAACAGACATGCTGTGTTTCAGAAGCACCATGTTCCAGATGAGCTTCACCGTATATCCATGTGAATACTGGTGTTTAATAAGACAACACAGCAACGAAAGGCAGCTCTATGGGAAAACTACCCAAGGACATGGCCTACATGCTATCTCCCAAAGATTTCAGCTGCAAAATGGTTAACATTTTAATTTAAACCTGAGTTTTTAAAATCCACAGTCACTCTCATGACTCATCAAATACTCATATACACCCATGTACAGAGAAAAGAGCACGATTTTTGATAAAATGGTAACAAATTGGTAAATCAAGGGGAAGCATACATAGGCATTATTTTTTTCTATCCTTGCAACTTTTCTCCGGGTTTGAAATGTTTGAAGTAAATAGGTGGGTGAAAAATAAACAGTTATGACTTTCATAATGTAAAAAAAAAAAAAAAAAAAAACCAGACTGAGAAGAAGGAAAATGATTCCATATTTAGAGTATTTTATGAAGGCTCGGAGAATTTAATGAGCTTAGGAATAAAAAAAACATTATTTCAAAACATTTTTACTTTATTATGAAAGTCATACAAATGTTTTTAAAAAGTTATAAAACAGATAAAAGAAAAAACGGCTCATAGTTTCACTGCAAATACATGGACATTTTCCACCTTTTCCTCTGTAGTGAGGATTTTCTGGGGAGGAGGTTTTTTTATTTAAAAATTAAACATTTTTTTAATGTTTTTATTTTTGGAGAGAGAGAGAGAGAGCATGAGCAAGGGAGAGGCAGAGAGAGGGGGAAACACAGAATCTGAAGCACCCTCCAGGCTCTGAGCTGTCAGCACAGAGCCTGACATGGGACTTGAACTCACGAACCGTGAGATCATGACCTGAGCTGAAGTCACGCTTAACTGACTGAGCCACCCAGGCACCCCAGGGGGAGGAGGTTTTTATACTGCATAGAGGAACTTAATACTCTATTTAAAGAAAAATTAACTACTAGAGGAAACACATATTCATATAATCGGTTTTGGATCAAAAAATAAGGAGTCCTCTGAAATAGCTCTATTAATGGAGAAGAACAGCAGCAGCGACAAGAATAGCAAAAATATGCTCGCCAAATGGTTAGTTCTATTAGGTGATGGAGCAAGACAGGACATTCACAAAAGGAAGGGAGATGTCAACCAAACAAAGGCAATGACTGAATCAAAGCAAAAAGACCGATTTTGAGAAGATTTATAAGCTAATCCTTGGTAAAAGAATTTTCAGATTCTGCATGGCATATTCATAACCGGAGAACTCAATCTGGCATTTAAATAGTGAAGAGACATGAAAAGAGATAGTAAACACTAAAAGCACTTTATACAATCATGATGCACTACACAAAATGAAATTACTGTTCTTATTTGAGAACGGGTGAAGGAAAGAAACTGCATTCAGATAAGAAAAACACAGACCACTGTGATTTCTTATAAACATAAATGTCACAGAATCTGAATGTCTGAAGGGAAAGAAAGAAGGTCGCTTAGTTGAATCTTCTGTACTCTAGTTACAAACCAGCAGCCAAATTTTTGTGGTGCCTTGCATGGTATTTGTTGATGTTTCAAAATCTAAATATTTTATAGAAAAATCAAGATTTTCCAGCTCCTCTTTCTGCCCTCCCCCAGCTGTACTGAGATATTAGTGATTTACGGCACTAAGTTTAAGGTGTAGAGAATAATGATTTGACTTACATGTATTGTGAAATGATTACACAATAAGTTAACATCCATCACCTCGTCTGGATGGAAAAAAAAATCTTTTCCCTTGTGATGAGATCTCTTCGGATCTATTCCCCTAACAACCCAGCCCCT